GGAATCTTGCAGAGCCTGTTAATAACTTAAATGAAGCAGAGCAAAACCCCAAAGATGTTCAGTCCAACCATTCCTTGCAAAATGCTCCCTTAAGATGTTGCAAGGATACAAGTGACCAGAATAAGGAGGAAACTGGGGAAGTATCGCTGAAGAATGAATTCAGATTAGATTCATTAGAAGATGTGAGTGATGATGATTTAACGGGAAGTGAGAAGTCAGAAGCAAGAGTCGAAAAGTTGGGTTCTTCTGTTAGTTCTCATTTACTCTGTGACACTCCAGACGGTAAACCTGCCACCTCTGAAAAGGAAGATGATGAAAAGCTGGCTGCTTCAAGTATTCCTTCTGCTGATGTAAAAGATTCTGTGTTTCAGATGGAATCCACAGTTTCTCCATCAAGCGGTCAGGACCATTTGCCTGTGGATTTGAAAACCTCCTCACAGGTTGGAGAAGGGAATGAAGAGCATGTCAAGTCACATGAACACTTTGAAATGGAAGGTTTTGAAACTCCTTCAGATCATGAGCTGCAAAAAGGAGGAAGCCAGTCACTAGGCCTCCTTCTTCCTGATTTAAGCAAACTTGGCCTCCCTGCCTCTCTGCAAAGAGACCTGACACGACATATTAGTCTGAAGAGCAAAGTTGGGACACATCTTCCAGAGCCCAATCTCAATAACGCCCGGCGCATTCGGAATGTGAGTGGCCATCGGAGAAGTGAGACTGAGAAGGAGTCAGGGCTTAAACCCACCCTCAGGCAGATTCTTAGCGCTTCGCGGCGAAATGTAAACTGGGATCAAGTCATCCAGCAGGTAACCAAGAAGAAACAGGAACTTGGCAAAGGTTTACCAAGGTTGGTAGCTTTCAGATCTAACCATGACTCTCTTTGTGTGTGTTATGGGAGGAGTGTTATTTTTCTCCAAATCTGAAATTAATTCCAGAATCCTAAAACAAAGATTTCAGGATAAATCCTGCTATACCATGATCTTTTGCATATACAAATACTTTTGAGTTTTTATGATTGCTTGGTACTGTGGATGTCTATCCAAAGCTAAGTAATAGTAGACTGCTGCTCAGAAGAGATTCTGATCAGTTCGTAACTGTTGCTTAATATCTGAATATGGACACTAGCAATGTACTTGCTTTTCAAGTTCTGGTAAGTGGAAGAATGTAAAAATGCAATCAGGATGTAAACGGTGCTGTGACAGTTGCTTATTTCTTCATTTGTTCAGGACTACAAGAAATGCTTGCATTGGTGCTGGCAGAGTAAATGCTCCCTCTTCGTGTGTTAATCTTTTAATCTGATGCTCAGTTTAATTTTGGTTTTAGAGGAAGCAGTTATAAAACACTTCACTTTTGAAACTTTCCTTATACCTAAAGTCTTTGAAGCATCTTGAAAAGATGTCATACTTGCTTTTTCCAGACTTCCAATATTAATGTAATGAGTTGCTAGATCTCTTAAATTGTGTGCATTTGGGGAAGGTGAGGCTTTTTTCTAGATTTAGCTGGCTTGTTACATGTGTATTTATTTTTATTTTATCTTGTTAAAGGTTTGGCATCGAAATGGTGCCTCTTGTTCAAAATGAGCAAGAGGATCTAGAACTTGGTGAAGAATCTGATTTGGCTACTCTGGAAGGATTCCAGTGGGAAGGGATTTCCTTAGCAGTGCCTGGCTCAGCCAGAAAACGTAGCTTTTCTGAAAGCAGTGTCATTGCAGACAGAAATCCTGCTGCTTATAGCTTCTTCAGTGAGCAAGCCAAAACAAAAGAAAGTGGGCAAAGGCAAATAATTGCAGCCAGCCACTCACATCACGTAACACCTGGGTATGAGGCAAGCGCTGATATTGAGGTTGACTTGAAACGAGAGACATCTTCTCTTCCTTTGTCACCATTTATGTCTGAAAAAACTGAGACTAGAGGAAGGAGACACAGCCTACAGGCCGCCTCTGTGATCACAGGCCTCACAAAACAAGACCAGGAGAGCCCAGAGAAGAGGACACCTCTGCTTGAAAAACAAAATGTGCTAGAAATCTCAGAAGAAAATCGTCCAGCTTCAAATAATGTTTCACTTCCTGCAGTGTCTAATAACATAGATGCAGCTACAGACAGTAGCTGCACATCTGGTACTGAGCAGAATGACAGCCAAGGAATTGGAAAGAAACGGAGAGCAACTGGAGTAAGTGTGCAATTTTATCCAGCGTTGATGTGCTAAAAATAGTTTTTTCCCTGTCAATGGTCATTCAGCCTTGGAATGATCTCTGCAAGGAGGACTTTCTCCATTTGATTGACTTCTGCATTGTTAGCCTCAAACTAATCTGCTTGTTTAACTTTATTTTCTTTAAGAGTCTTTTCCATTTCTGCCTTCCTAGTGCAGGTCTTCTGCTTAATCTTTTTTTGAAATAGTAGGAAAGTCAAATGCCCTTTAATTTTGGTTTGATAACTGGCATGCAATGCTGGTAAATGAGAGCTATTAAAGTATTTCTGTGGAAGTACTTGGTGTTGTAGCAAGGATCTTGGTGTTTCAAAACCTAAATGGAATCTAGACTGTAATAGAAATTTCTTTTCGTTAGATCATAGAATCATAGAATGTCCTGGGTTGAAAAGGACCTTAAAGATCATTTAGTTTCAACCCCTCTGCTGTGGGCAGGGTTGCCAACCACTAGAGCAGGCTGCCCAGGGCCCCATCCAGCCTGGCCTTGAACACCTCCAGAGACTGGGCATCCACAACTTCTCTGGGCAACCTGGGCCAGTGCCTCACCACCGTCTGAGTGAAAAATTTCTGCCTAATATCCAACCTAAATCTCCCCTCTCTTAGTTTAAAACCATTCCCCCTCGTCCTGTCACTATCAACCCCTGTAAATACTCACTCCCATCACTAGATGTTCCTGGTTTTATGGTCAAGCAAGGAAAGACAACCTTTTTACAAAATTTTATCCTTAAAATGATATAGCTAAATATGAATTTATTTAACTGTCCTGTTTTGGACTTGCCTGAAGGGAAAAAAAACTGTTTCTGATCGAAATCCTCAAAATTATTTTGCTATATGCAGAAAGCGATAATTTTAATTCCTCACTGATTTAATCCTCTAGACTTTCAGCTAAAACCGTAGAGCAGAGTTTGACCCAGGTGTGGTCTAAAATATTTAAAATATTTGATATTTCTTCCCCGTTGAGATGAAAACATGGCACTCACTTTGTTGCCTTCCCTCCTTTAAGGGCTGAGGGAAAGACGAGTTATAAAAGTGTGCAAAATTATTTGTATATTCTTCTCTGTGGGTACAAGTAATGCTTGAAAAGACAGTGGATGTTTGACTTTTTGGTTTAGGCAAAATTGCTCATGTAACTTTTGTTAATAAATGATTTTACTTGCAGGAAGGATCTTCTCCTGAAATCCCTAGTCTAGAAAGAAAGAATAAAAGAAGAAAAATCAAAGGTAAGAAAGGTGAGTGAATTTCATACGTATGTGCATCTGGTATAGAGGTTACAAATACCTAGTAGTATCTTGACTTGGCAAAAATGGCAGTTACTTAAAGTTTCAAAGCACGGCTCTTACTGAAGGTCATGGAGTGGGCTGCTCTCAGGTCCACAACACATTGTTCTCTGAAGGGTCCCATCTTAATATGTTGCAAGTTATTTCTAAGAGAAGACTTTGTGCCTCCTTTCTGCCTGCATTTCGTGTTCCCAGTGGCATAGATGGGGCCTTTGCTTTCCCCTGCTCAGGGAAGAGAGGTTTGTTGCCTCTTTGGACAGAAGTTCTGAATGGAGAAGCATGCATCACTCCCTTCTAATTAAGCAACGCAGCTTTCCCTTTCTACTTCTTGGTGATCTTACCAGAAAACTTCTAGTCTGCATACCTTGGGCTGTGTTCTGTTTTTGACATCACCAGCAAGACTTTTTTTTTTTTTTCTTCTTCTACTCCTTCCCTGTCCTTAATGCAAATGAACGTGGAATGCCTCACTCCTTCCTGCTCCTGACCAAAGAAAACTCTTATTCTGGCATTAGACAGGTCTTTCTCAAACATGCCTAACACATCCACATCACTGTGTATCAAAATTAACCATCTGTGTTTTAGGGAGAATGTTTTCTTTGAGAACTAAATCCTTGCATCACTATCTGGGAACTTTGGGGTCCAGAAGGTATCTTTCAGATGTTCCATTTATCTTTTTTTAAATTATTTATTTATATTAAGTGTTGTTTGGAATGCAGGGCAGTTAATATGGATCTTCTTGTGGGAACTAATATTTCACTACGTGAAAAGGTGCAGGTTTTTATCAGCCTCTGTCTTCAATGACTAGTGTCTGTTATGGAGACCAATAACACATTTGTAAAATCTCTCTTTCCCATTACTTTGCTTCAGCGTCATCTTCAGCGTAAATTTGTATTAAATCTGCAGAAGGAAACTATAACTTAAATTAAACTAAGCAGTGCTCAAACTGAAACTTAATTTGCTTGGAGAATCTCTGTAATGCAAGAGGACTCTAGAAAGGAGTACAGGAGGATCTTTTGAGTACAATGCTCAGAGACTTCCTCAAGAGATTGGAAACATAAGTCTCATGGCCCAAAATCCTCTTGGATAGTAAATTATTTTTTAATCATTGCGTTGTTCTTCTCTTAAGCTGCCTTTCCGTGGCCTCTGGATTAACTGAATAATTTAAGTCTTGTTTAGCTTAAATTTGCCTTTGCCTTTATGATTACATTAATCAAAAGTGTGTATTTGTACTTTATATACACATGTACTTCAACAAAAGATCTCTGTGGAAGAGAATGACTTTGCTCAATTAAACTAAATCAGTGCTGGCAAAGCTATGATGGAAATCAAGTTACTCGAGTCAAGGCTGAGATACTGTGAAGAGGAATACTCGACTTTGCTCTTCTTTCATGTAGATGTAACTATTCCTGTGCAGAGATATTCCTTTTCAGCTTCTGGTGTGGCTATTGATGCTTGACCTAATTTAGGTGATTTTTACGTTCCGAGGTGGTGGTGTTTATTGAGATATCGTGTAATTTATTTTAACGTATTGGCAAGTACAGTTATACTCTACATCTTGTTTCTTTTTCAGAACGTTCTCAGGTAGACCAGTTGTTGGCTATTTCGCTGAAGGAAGAAGAGTTAAGCAAGTCCCTGCACAGTGTGGACAGCAGTCTCTTGCAGGCTAGGGCTGCCCTGCAGGCTGCGTATGTTGAGGTTCAACGGTTCCTTGTATTAAAGCAACAGGTAATGGTGGGCTTTTGAGACTGTTTGGACTAGAAGTTAGCAGCCTGAAAAACTGTCTTAAGTAGGACCAATTTAAACCGCAACTGTTTTTCAGATAACCATGGAAATGAGCACACTGAGAAGTCAGAGAATCCAGATCTTGCAGGGACTACAAGGTATGAGGTACCATAAAACTACATCAGTGGAATGTTGACTCATATTGTTGGAACTCACATCTTGTAAAAGATGCATTTAACTTGAATTCGTCCGTTTAAGATGTGCAAGAAAATTGTGGGCTGTCAGTATTGATGGCTTTACTGTTCAAATGTGGTGTGTTAGCTTTGCTAGTGCCATCTAGTGGCTCTTTTACAAATTTTTCTCTTCCTTGTCTGTCCACAAGAAATGAGCTCTTGGCACTGCTAAGTTTTATTGTAAAATCTGAATTTTTTTGTTCAGTATTTTTTTTTCTCTCCTCTTTTGCCATTAGAAACATATGAACCTTCTGAACTGTCAGAGCAACTTTCCTGCAGTGTCATAAGTGAGAGAAGAAATAGCACATCTCAGGTGGCAGCTGACTTAATTCCTACAGGCTCCTTCCTGCCCCTTTTCGACACTTTGTCTTCTTCTGTACCTCCACTGGGATCTTCTGTTCATGTAAATGTGCCGGCACTGTTCCAGTCTTCTGACATCACACCTAACGCAAGAACAAATTAAACGTGAACCCGTGTCTCCGAAAGGATCAGAAGAAAATGTGAATTCTGTACTCGAGAGCTCTCTGTATGCTTCACCAGCAGAAGAGGTGGAGCAGAAGGATGGTATGTGTGGCTTTTTGTTACGAGAACTAGCTTTAAGAAAATAAGGTGATTTTTTTGGGGTTTTTTTTTGGTTTTTTTCCCTGGGAGAATGTAAGTTGGGTCTCAAACCTGCAGCCTATTGTTCAAGAGTGAACTCCCGTTAACTTATGTAGGACTTTGTCAACTTAATAGTCTTAGGAACTGGGACCTTCTTTACAACACATACAAATGGATTCCCCATTTTTGAAATTGTTAAGCACATGCAAATTTTAGTCATATACACCTACAGGTTTCTAGTTTTACTTTAAAAATAGAACAAACATGAATTTTCAGGTTATATCCTCTCTGAATAGTTTAATTCATAAAAAACCCACAAACCTTAAAACCTCCTCTGTAATATTTGCCTTCTACTCTGCATCACTTAATGGGCATTGGTAGCTGAAAATCTACCTGGAAAGGAAAAATGCATGCCTGAAGATCTTTTACAAAAAAATTATGATCAGCTACGTTAAGAGTATTTTGTGTTCCTGCATCCTGCTGCATAAGCATAAACAGTATAGTTTGTGATATTAAAAATAACAGTCCATTATCTTCCTTTCTCCATTTCTCCAAATCCCACTGGTCTGGACATGCTGGTCAGATTTAATAAACTCATTCAAAGTTCGTGCAACCTTATTTGTGATTTCAGTAAACAATTTACTGTAAGAAGGGTATTAGGCACTGTTCACTGCTGTGAGGGGAGTAAGGGAGGGCTACCAATGAAGGGATGTGTTCACTTTTGTCTGGAGGAGAAACTGCTGAATTAATTGAACTACTGATGTGATACCTTCTGCTTTATAAAAATTAGATCTTAATGTCTGTAGCTGAAATTGCTAACTCTATTTAGACAGTTTGAAACCTCTCAAACTCATGTCTGTGGTCAAAGGCTTAAATGCTATTGGTACTTTCCACTGCAACTTGTTACTGTGACCTAAGGTACAAACTGAAGATTAAAAGCTGTACTTTTTTAAGAGCCTGTGAAGTCAAGCAGGGTGACTCTAATGACAGTTGACTGTCTGGCATAACTGTCACTTACCCAAACCCTTAACTTAGATAATTTGAGATAAAGATTTGTAAGTAAGATCCTTGTTAAAGACAAGTATAGCCATGATTTTATTTTCCTTCAACTGAAGTGGAAAATACTATTGGAAAAAGCCATGCTGTTCTGCTTTTATAAGTGTATTTGTTTCTTAAGTACAAGATAAGTGTTGGCTGAATTGAAGTTTAGACTTCTGTAAATACAAGAATTTGAAGGGTTTTTGCCTTTTTGCAGTTTTCTTCAGATGCAGAATTATACATAAATAGTGCTCTTTCTCATGTTTTGGTCACCATTACATTTCCTGTATTCCACTGTTTTTGCGTTATGTTAATGTAGTATTGTGAATTTTGCTTCATCTCTTTTTGGAGGATTTGCCAGGGATTATGAAGTTCTAGGGGTGCACACTAAAGTAAACTGGTGGGGACAGGTGTTGAAGAGTCAGCTGTTGTATTTGTTTGCATAGTTAAGAGTTTGTAGGAAGCCTCTTCCTTCTCTTTCCCATTTCTATTGGCATATGCCATTCTGTTATGTTTAAACGTCAATGAAAACAGGTGTAACTTTTCTTTAATGTTAGAGTTGGAAAATTCGGAATAAAGATTTAGTGATCACTAGCTGCAGTGGCATAAAGTATCTTGCTTGCAGAATCTTCAGAATTGATTGATGTCTGTGCAGGCACGACAGAAGCTTAAGAGGTTTTTTAGTCTTTTATCATGAAGATGAACCTTCAATGTATGGCTGTATTTTATTATTTAAATAATTCATTTTAAAATCTCTTCATCATGTCAGCATATTTGTCATTTTCCTACAAAATAATTTTTGACATATTTGAAGCAAAAATGTTCTTTTATGTTTGTTTATTAAATTAATGTGATTTTTGTATTGATCAGCTTCTATATGGCTATACTTAAAATGAGCGTCTGCCATGAAATGAATTTGGTAATTTTGGGGGGGAAAAAGCACTTGCCAACAGGTAAATTCTGTAATTTAGGGGAGATGAATTCTCTCTGGAGGCAGACTGTCTGTTTTCTGGGGGTTGAACATCTGGATTGTCAGCTTCCCTCGGAGGTCAGTTTAGCCTTGCTTTGAAGGAGCCAATTGCATTTGGTTTCCCCTAACTCCCAGCGATCTCTCCCACCTGCGGAACTGGGCAAGTCTGTTTTCTTGCACTACCATAGTGATTTCCTACTTCCTTTCTAAGACCTACGTTACTAAGTGCTGAAAATGAATAACTTTTGAGTTTAGAAATTTCAGTTTAGGTTGCCGGTTACTCTTATTTTCCTGATTGTTTTAAGTGACCAAGTTCCTTCCCTCCTCCTTCCTGTGGGAAATGAGGGATGCACAATGTTAGAGGTGTATTCAGAATTTCAAGGGTTTGTGTGCCTTCTTTCCAGTACAATTCAACACTAGTTGAATCCACTCTAGTTGGATGTGTAATTCTAAAGCATCAGTTTGTACTGTGTTGTGTTAAACAGTCCAACAGCTTTGCCTAAGCACTGCTGTAGGTTTAAGCTGCTGTTTTCTAAGAGACCAAAGCAGGGAAGTGTTTCAAATAGTGCCAGATTCTCATTTGTATTGAGGGATCCCACCCAATATATGCAGTGAACTTGAAACGTCCTGTTCTGGATTGTAGTTATTGCAAATGCAGCTGGGGAATTTTAGGGTGTGGGAAACACAGCTGTGAGATGTTGCCTGTGCTCATAGCCTGTCTCAGTTGAGAGGCTGGATTCACTTGTTCATATTGTCTTCAAATTAAAATGACAGGGAGAGTATGTTTGCCCCATCACTTAAGTCCACCACGGATGAACTAAAAAGCTTACCCTGCTGGCTTACAGTGCTGCCATTCCCAGGACAGAAGGTAGAACACTGTAGAGTGCTTTGTGCATGACTCATCTGCCTTGAGTTAGGTCCAAGTAACTTGGTAGAAATAACTAATGCAGATGGGTTAAGCACAGGGTCTTCAAATTATGTCACTGAGCTGCTGAGACATACTAGGCGTGTGTTGCTTAATACCAGTTCTACAGCAGTGGTGACAGCTGGTAAGGGAGCGCACAGGGAAGGGTGGTAGCATCTTAAGCCGACAATATGAGATTCACCAAAGGTTGGTTGTCAGAACTTTAAAAACATATAGTCAGTCAGCGACTTGAATGATATGACCCATTCTTTTGCTTCTGGGTACACAGATAAACATTTTATTCCCCAGCTACGTTTTTTTTAAAGGCCAGGTAGCTGACTGAAATAGCAGATCTGCATGTGCACATAGCTTTCACCATGTAGGTATATCTACTTTATATGCACAATTAAGTATAAACAAAAAAATGCACAGAGATAAATTTTGCATAAATATTTGTTGCTGTACAGGTTGAATATAACACTAGTCTGTTTTCTTCAGAAGAGACCAACCAGAAAACTCCAGTGTATCCAGTTATCTCTGCAACCATATCCCTGTCAGAGCTGACCGCTTGTTTCCAACACACTAATCAAGATGTTCACAAGCCTTCTGCGAACACAGGGAAGGCTGGACTTCCTGAGAGCCCTTCTCCTCATTCACTGTCTGTTTTCAGCAAGAGAGAAGCAAATGATGCAGTGACTGAAAGCTTTTCACTGGATCAGCACAGCACCTCTCTTCCAAAGCATTCAGTCCTCCTAGAAATGCAAGTGGATAAAACCCTCAAATTGTCGGCAGAACCATCCAAGCAACAGGCGGCAACTACTGTAGTCCCAGCAGAAAAAGGGAACAGGAGGAGGAGAAAGTTAAGGAAGAAGAAAACTCTCAGGGCAACCCATGTGCCAGAGAACAGTGATACAGAACAGGATATAACTGACTCTAAGCCTGTCCGGAAAGTCAAGGGTGGAAAGGTTCCTAAAGGAGAAAAAGTTACTCCTCTAAGACAGGAGGATGGAGCTACTGCTCAAACAGCAAAAAACAAGGATGAGAATGACAGTGATGCATCTCTGGAACTAGTGGAAGTTCCAGCACCCCAGTGTGAGGTGGTTGATGTTGATTCGTTGGAGTCTGGAGATGAGAAACCAGACAGTCCATCAAAGAGGGGTTCACGCAGCTCTGTGGATCAAGCAGCCCTAGAGGTGTCTTGCTCTGGTTATGATGAAGTGAGCTCTACCAGTGAGATTGGCACAAATTATAGGGATGATGGGAAAAGGTGAGATTATTGTTAATCTCTCAAAAGTAAAAGTATTAAAAAATATTCATAAGAGGCCTCTCTTTTTTTTTTTTCCCTTATTCGGAAAGTCTTACAACATCAGTAACTTTTAATTTAATTCAGGAGTAAAATAAGAGGAAAATTAAAATTGAATTTGCTTTTTTGGTCCAACAAATGAATGTGTCTTTTTACCTACTAATTTCTCTAATATAAGAACAAGGCTGCCCTCCACAAAAAGTTTGGTTTTGAGCTTATCTGTTACAGCCTATTTTCTGTTAAATGCAGAGTCTTGTATTCTAGAGTATTACTTACACCAGTATTTTGTCTGAAAATGAATGTGCAAAGTCCAACCTCACTACTCTCTTTCTGTGTTATAGCATGGCTGAGACACAGACTTGCATATCATCACTAAGAGGATCAAAGAACTCATCAGGTACATCTTTTAAGCTTTTCTGATGCTTTATGTATAGTGTCTTGCAGGACTCTAAGTCTCGATCAGGCTGCTTCCAGACGGGAATTGTGCCCTGAAGATAAAAACCTACACTAAAAACTGAACTGGGAAGTGATGCATACTCACTTATGTCATCCCTCATTGAATGCTTTGAGCCTTGACCCCTCCACATCCCCCCACGCCCTCCCATACGAACACTTCTGCTCTACAGTCTCCATAGAGCTGCAGAACAAACAATAATACAGTCCTTCTGCTATTTTAAAGATCTTTCTGGACTTAACATGATACAAAAGTCTTTCTGGCATTTTATATTGCCTTCTGCCACTTAGAGGCTCCCGCTGGGACCCACAATGAAATCTGACTTTAAGGTGCTGTGCCCACGAAATAGTGTTTGGTAATAGAAACACCAGTAGTGTGTTTACTTGAATGTATTCACATAATCGAAGTACCTGTGTCTCTGTCCTACAGAAGTGTCTTCGGAGCCAGGTGAGGATGAAGAACCTACAGAGGGAAGCTTTGAGGGACACCTGGCGGCAGTGAATGCTATTCAGATTTTTGGGAATTTGTTGTATACGTGCTCAGCAGACAAAACTGTTTGTGCCTACAATCTGGTTGTAAGTAAGGTTGTGGGAATGGTGTTACATTAATTGCAGTCACAAGGTTGCAATGCTTTTTTGTAAAGCCTTACTATGTAGTTAAGGATGCAGCTGCTTTTTCAAGTGCCTGACTTTTTTTAATGCTATTGTTTTCTTCAAATCTCTCTTTCTCTCCTCCTTATGAGAAGGGTAAAGGGAGATAGATTGCTGCATGTGTTCTGCTTTTGTTAGCTGTCCTACCCTACTCTGTCAGGCACTGATCCCAAGGCATTATGGGCCTTTATGTTGACAGACCCTATGCTTTCCTTTTTAGAGCAGGAAGTGTGTGGCCGTCTTTGAAGGACATACTTCAAAAGTGAACTGCCTCCTGGTCACTCAGACGAATGGGAAAAATGCTGCACTCTTCACTGGCTCCAGCGACCACACTATCAACTGTTACAATATCAAGGTACTCAAACTCTGTGTTGATTCACGTGTGCTGCATTTTTATGCGAGTGTTTCTTTGCAAACATAAATGAGGAAAGCCTTTTAAACCTGTATGAGCTGGACATGAACCCCAGTTCATACCTCATTAGAGTGGAGCAGGGGGGAAAAAAAAAACAAACCCAAACAGCAAACTATTAAGTGATTTTTGTACCCTAATCTTTTGGTTAGCTTGTCAGCAGAGTTTTTGCATGATGGGATCCCAAATGTTGGGAGTTCCAACGTGCAGGATGGTTGTCTGGCCATGAATATCATGTTGGTCTTACTGTGTTTCTAACTTCACTGCTTATGGAAGGCACTGCTCTCTTTGTAGAGCTGCTATAGAGAGAACAGGTATCTACTATTTTGAGGGCAGGTGGAAGAGCATACTGAGACTTCCTGAAACTGGACTTTCAAGGATAAATGATAGGAAGGCTTGTCCAGCCTGTGGCTTGAAGGACTAGAAAGCAAATACCTGCTTCAGGGGGCAAACTGACAGAGGACTTTAACTCTTAAGCTGATGATTCATACCACTTCCCTGTGGGGGACTTCATGGGGATTCCTGAAACTCAAGCACGTTAACAGGGTGGTTTATATATATATATGTATGTATGTATGGAGACTGTGACTAGAGTAAAGCTTCTAGGGTTATAACTGGTTGTTGAAGTACAGTCAAGTCTGAGAGATGGGAGTGAGCTGGTTAAAACAAGGATCAAACTGCCATGTGACACCAGACTTTAAGACATTTTTTTCCAGCTCTCTTGGTTCAAAAAAATGCAGCTTGTAGGTGAACATGATCATTCACTTCAGGCTTTTTTCCCTTGAATTGTTTTTAGTTAATGAAAAGCTTTAAATATGTCTTTCTATTGCCAGACCAGAGAGTGCATGGAACAGTTGAAACTGGAAGATCGAGTGCTCTGTTTACACAGCAGATGGCGGATCCTTTATGCAGGCCTTGCAAATGGCAGTGTGGTTACATTCAGCATAAAGGTTAGTTTGTTTAAATATTGGCACCTAAAAGTCTGTTGTGACGCTGTTTCTCTCCACATTTTCTTTCCATTCTTTCTCTTGAGTAGTGAGTGTATTTGTAATTAAAGTATTTTAGTATAAATGGTCACTGTTGGCCCCTTTTGGTCCTTTATTTTGTCAGTGCACGAAGCTGTGCCATCTCCCCTTCCCTCTGGTTACCTTTCTCTTAACTGCTGTATTGTCATGTTTTCCTTAAGGTTCCACCTGGCCTACCAGTCGTGTCAGAGAGTTTTATGACACAGTTGATTATTTGTGAATCCTCCTTTCTTGCCTATCAAAGCAGTGTGAGAGACTTATGTGTTGCTGGTTTTGCCTGCTCCATTTGCAGTTACAGAAGAGAATAATTCATGTGGTTTTCTGGCAAAGAGGCTTGATCAGCAGTCCCCATGATATTTAAAAGTGAATAAAAATAATTATTTAAATAAATTATTTTTCTGATTGTTTGTTTCATGGATCCTAGACTAATTTCTCAAATTTATCCTTACAAATATATTCTGTTTTGCATTTTTCCCATAATGCTATTTCCTCTCATTGTTCTAACTCAGAAGGAGGATTCACTGGACCTTTGCTAAATAATGAAATAATTTTTTAAAAGACAGGAAATTGAAGCCCCACATAAGGAGTTATTTCCTTGGTTTGAAAACTTAGTTGTTAAGATGCAACTCTTACCACTGCTGAAATGGTGTGTTACTAAACTGAAATCAGATGCTATAAAAAATACAACACAAAAAGGACTCTCTGGTCTAGTCAGTGTCATAGCAAAGCTTTAATTTTTATAAACAATTTTTTCCTCCCCCAACAGAACAACAAGCAGCTTGATACCTTTGAATGCCATGGCCCCAGAGCAGTGAGCTGTCTAGCCACAGCTCAGGAAGGAGCACGCAAGTTGTTGGTGGTGGGCTCCTATGACTGCACCATCAGTGTGCGAGATGCGCGGAACGGCCTGCTTCTCAGAACTCTGGAAGGGCACAGCAAAACTATACTCTGCATGAAGGCAAGCGTCTCTGAAAATACATTTTTGACAAAGAATGCATAAAGTGGTGTGGTTTTTCTTTTTCTTCCTAATCAGTGAGCAGATTGTGGTGGGAAATACAGGATTTCTCTATTTGAAATTATAAAAACTGAGTAATTTGGTAAGAAAATTGGCTGGTTGCCATATCCCATGTTCCCAGCAAAACTGTTGGGGGTGTGTATGTAGGAAGCATGGTTTTTTTCAAGTTATTTGAAAGATTTAGGGAATCTTGAAAATGTGAGTTTGCCAACAGGGAGAAAGTTGGGGAAAAGATGAAGCTAGTTTTCACATACCCTGGTTGTACAAATCTCAGAGGAAACTGGAAAAAAAAGTAACTTCAGAGAAATATTCTTTTTTTAATAGAAGAATCAGTATCACTTTATTTACAGGTTTTTGGCTCCTGAGATTACAAGATGAAACATATACTTGCCTGACTGCTTTGCTGTGACCATTATCATGTAACAGGGAGTGACTTCCATCAATTGTATTTGTCACTTCAGATATTATGGTGCAGTGGCACACCCTCTTTTTGCTCTGTGGACTATCCTAGTCCTGCTTGTGTGGCAGCATACTGAGGTCCTTTCTTGATCCATGATGGATCTGTTGAGCTTACTTTCTAGATTAGTACTTAGCAGGAACACCATCTTTCTTATATGACCAGAATATAAGTGGACAAGCACATCCAATATTTCCAGGAAACAACGGGCTTTACTGTGCATGTGCAGAGCACCATTCTGCATTCAGTTTGCTTGGCCCCTGATCTGCTGCTGAGCTGTCCCTGAGAATAGTCCATAGGTAGGATGAGTTGGCCTGGTGGGCTGCAAGTTGACAGCTTCTAATGTCAATTGTGAAGTGTCAAAAGTCATAATTAGGATAGCACAGTACATTTTCTAGCTCTTATGTGCATGCTTTTTTTTCATACTCTCCATTGATTTTAAGGCTGTCAAGTTTAGGAAATACTATAGTACATCTTTAAACTGAACAGTGTCTTAATGTTTTGCTTGCCCATTTCTGTATCTGTTACAAAAATAAAATTCTTCTTCGGTGATTTGGTTTTTTAATTTTTTTTTTGGTAAGGTTGTGAATGATCTGGTATTCAGTGGCTCCAGTGATCAGTCTGTCCATGCCCACAACATTCATGTAAGTCTCATATATGAAAGTTGGAATGACTTTTGCTATTAAGGCAGTGAATTCCTGTGCTATAAAGTCAGTATTTCCAGAATTTTTGACCGACTGGTGGGACAGTATAGCTTCCCAGAAAAGGAAGTTATATGATTTTGTTAGTGTGACTATGCACTATAGCTAACTAAGGAGGGATGCAGAGGATAAAATACCTTGGGAAATATAAGCATGCTGACTCTTGTAATATGGTATGCAGTGTCTTTTTATCTGGGGGTCTTGCTTTTGCAAATATTACTACAATCGTGCTGATGATGGGGGGGAGGGTTCAGAGCAAAGCGATGTGAGGTATTCTGGTGGGGGAAGAGATTACAGGAAAAATTTGAGGAACACAATCAGAGTTCCAAACCAGCTAGTTCAAAAGCTGTTATACTGTTGTGAATGCTTTTGTCTCCGGCCTGCCATTCTTTTCCTGTTTTATACCATCTTTCCCTTGTGCTTGCAGAAGCATTCGTGTAGCTATGCAGTAAGTTAGTTTAAGAACTTATCGGGGTAAATTTTAATTAACAAAAAAATGTGTATATTTATGTGTATTTAGCTAAATTTGCTCACTGTTCCTTGTGGCTACATAAATATTGATAGTACTAATAGCACAGTAGTTGCAGGATAGGTGGAAACACATAACTAATGATGGAAAGAGGAGAAACAGATACTTTTCATAGTGACATGCATATCTATTGTAATGAATAGCTCTGTGTTAACATGGGCAAAGAAAAGGATAACTAACATGATCATAATCTAGAAGTGCCTTCATAAAACATGAAAGTCTAATAAAGGGTGTTTCTGCTTTCTGAGTAGTGAGCATTGAAGCTAACTACCCTATCTAAGTTAGATAAAACTGTTTTGCTTTGGTTTTTTTTTAAAAAAAAAAAAACAAACACCTATTTGCCTTTGCTTTTTTTTTTTTTATGCAGACTGGAGAGCTGGTGCGGATCTATAAAGGCCATAACCATGCAGTAACGGTTGTGAACATTCTTGGGAAAGTGATGGTGACAGCATGTCTGGATAAATTTGTTCGTGTTTATGAACTACAAGTAAGAAAATAGATGTTTACTGATGACATTTACCTAATATGTGTTAATTAATGATTTTGAACTCAAATAGAAGTCCATTTTTGTGCGTACTAGTCTCTGGCCCATCACTCTCTTTCGTGTCACTCAGAATGTATAGTTGTCTCACCAGCCGAAATACGTGGGTTTTAAAGAACGTACCCTAAAACATATTTTTTAGAACCTGGGTTATCCTAAGATAATGACGTCTCAGAAAAGTGGGGAAATGTTAGTTTTGTCAGCTTGAAAGAGCAAGTGTTTAATTGGACAAAAAGACTCACAGAAGTAATGTAAACAAAAGTGAGCTTTCCTGGTGGCTAGGAAGTTTGGAATCCACCAGGGGAGTTTAGTTGCTACCCAGGAAACTGCTCTTGGAAGCATTGTCATCTATATGTCTGTGAAAAATGGCTATTAACTGTCATGCTATTAAATGTCTGTTTCTGTTTCTTTCAAGTCACACGACCGCTTGCAAGTCTATGGAGGCCACACAGATATGATCATGTGTATGACCATCCATAAGAGCATGGTAACTTTTCTTTTCATTGCTTTCAAAGGGAAGGTTCCATAAGCATATACAAGAGAGTTTAAAATTTTCAGATAATGAAATCAACCTGCTGACTAAGACAGAGGAACTTAGAAATGACTGCCAAAAAAATAAAGTTGCTATAACAGCTTTGTATTTATAGAATATGGTTGTCTAATTGGGGAAAAATTACCTTCTAGCTTACTGTAGCTTTAGAACAATAGCTCTGTTTACAGTGATGGCTGCAATGAAGAGTCCAGAAACAGTAAAATATTCCCTCTTTTCAAGCATCAATACTGCTTGACCTTTATTCAAGATAGTCACACGGATGCTAGAGAAAAACTTCACCGACAGTCAAACCTCTAGTAACCTTTTGATAGAACCTAAACAAAGGTATGCAGTTAGTTCAGGTGCACAGATTTCTTCATGCATTTGCCTTGCAAGATAGGTTTCAGAAGCACTTCTGGATAAATAACTTACTCAAAATAGTAATTAAAAGCACTTACTTGTCTGCATGTGTAGGTATTTGTGTGTAAACTTTTTTTCAGATTGTAAAATAAGAGGTATAGGGGTATAGTAATCATCTGAAATAACAGAAGAATAAGTCTAACAGAACTGATCTCCTACTAATTGGAATACATACTGCCCACGCTTCCCTTCTCATGTGAGTGAGATGGAGAGCTAAGCGCACCCAGGCTTTGTGCTTACAGTCTGAAACTTGAACTGTTTCCAGCAATAGTCTGGTTTGAGCATTCTGAAATCGAAGAAGTGTTGAGATAAGAAGCTTAGTGTCAAGTGAAAGATTGTAATTTTCTGTACTAGTCTTTAGTAAAATGTCGTCTCTTACACACAGCAGATTGTAATTGATCCTGGTGATGAATTTCCAAGAGACAAAAAGACTTGAACAAAAATAAAATATGAAATCTTCAGCTTGCAGAGTTTTCTGTATTATGTGAGGGCTTTTTAAATAATGAACATTGTTTATGGAATTGCAGATGTCTGACATACTTTTCTTTCCAATGGATAATTTTGTGTAGAGCATTTGCCTGACAAAAATGTATTTTAATATGTCATTTTGCCTGCCTTCTCAGGATCTGCATCAGTCTTCTCTTTCTGAAATTCTGATGTTCCTCCTCACCCTTCTTCTCCATCCCTTTTTGATACATATATAACTGGTTAAGTCATGGAAATATATTCAACTTAACATTTATGCCTAAAATTTTTTTTCACTTCAGCAGATGCATTTTAAAGTTTTCTGAACTTCTACACAAATGACACTATCAATAGAAGTTATGGAAACATTTCTTATTCACTAGTAGTTTTTTTGTAAACTGTGAATGCAAAACTTAAAATAGTTAGACCTATTTTTTAAATTTGTAAGCCTTGCATGTTGGTATCTTACTGTTGTTCACCTAATATACTCTACACTGAAGCCACTTTCAAAATTTGACTCTTTTTTTTTGTTTTTCTATTATTCCCAGCTTGTTTATCCATAAATGTTTCTTTTACAGATTTACACTGGATGCTATGATGGCAGTGTCAGAGCTGTGAGGCTTAATCTGATGCAGAATTATCGTTGCTGGGTAATGAACAAAGTGTTCTTGGCTTTCCTTTGTTATGCTTTTTAGACTCATTTTCTAGGAGTGGTCACTTCTCAGTCTAGGATAGCTCGACCTTTAATTTACTATAATTCAATAATATTTTTAGAATGTATTTGTGCATTTTAAATGTAAGTGTATAGCACTAGTTCCCTTTTTCATGGTGTTTAGTATATGTGTATGCTTTGGGGCAAGTTGGTAGTAGCATCTTAAATTTTTTTTTCTGGTATTTTTTAGATAGTGATATTTAACTGTTTAAAACCAAAAACTTCAGCTGATTGACATACAAAAGCAGATTTACTCTACTAAATAAGTTTAATTAAATTTCCAATGAGTGTCTCAGGTAGGCTTAAGTCTTGTAAAGGCTTAGTTCCTCTCTTCCTCCTGCTATTCTTGCTGGTGGTCTAAGCTTGACTAGAAGCAGGAAAATTCTCTGTAAAACTGTAAGTAAAGGCATAGAGACCATTGAGAATGGGAATGGAGTAAGAAGGTTAAAAAGTTACAGGAGCCGGCATGTGTGTGAACAATCTTGGTAGAATATTGTTAAGTTGCAAGAATAAAAGCATGAGCTAAAATTATTTTTCCCTGGCTTATTCTGGCATGTTTTTTCTACCAGTGGCATGGATGTTCACTGATCTTTGGAGTTGTGGACCATCTGAAACAACACTTGCTAACTGACCACACCAACCCAAATTTTCAGACCCTAAAATGTCGTTGGAAGAACTGTGATGCTTTCTTTACTTCCAGAAAAGGTTCCAAGCAGGTATGTGGCTGCACCAACGTGGTTGTATTTGGTAGTATAAAGTAGATAAAGTAACCACAAATGTGGGACTTGATGCTATTTTGCTTAAAAATGGTTAAATTCTTAACAGGCTTAACTGCATATAGTTACAGTCATACATGGCTAACAGTTCAACCTGTGACAGATCGATAGTGCAGCTAAGTATGATAACTTGAGATATGGTCAATTTAAAACAGTTTGATCCTAAAATATTACATGGAAGTGGTAAACTTCTTGAAATATTAGAAGAAATTCTGGTAACTGTACTCAAGATCTTATTAAGTTTTTCTAAGATCTTATTAAGTTTTTGTAGGAATTTTTTTTTTTAATATGAACAAACATAAGTCTTGAAAATTATTTTTGTCCTCTTAATTTTTATCCATCATTGCTCCCCTTCATTGTTGTAGATGCTGATGCTGTTTATTTTTCACATGGGATTGGTTTTGATAACAATCTTTAAAGAAGTATAAAGCATAAATTTCTGAATAAATGTTAGCACAGGTGGGGGGAAGAAATTAAGAAGGCATAAGAGTTGGATGCCAGTTGGATCAAGTGATATGGAAAGAGGGGGGGGTGGGTGGAAGGAGGGTTGTTACCTATAGACTGATGGGTAAAATCCACATTTTACTCCTTGGCAATATAAACTACCTTCCTGTTGAATGCTTTTCCAAATACACAATGGAAGGAGGTTTCTTTGAGAACTAAGAAACAGAAGTAGAATCCTTAATTTCTCTTTAAGCACCAGCTTTGGATATGATGTGTTTTATTGGATATGCCCTTCTAGTCAGAAAGGAAGCTGGTTTTTATTCATCTTGAATCATGTGGTATGTGAGGCACTTCATGTAGTTTGGCATTGATTTTTTTTGTTAATTTTTTTTTTGGAAGCTTTAAGACAAAAAAATATATATTATCCAGATTGTCACTTTTACTGAGGCTTCAAGTATATTTTGTGAAGTTTTTTGTGTTTTTTTGGTAATTTTTTAAAAAATATCACTGTTGTTATTATCTGACTTTGGTTCTTTTCTAGGATGCTGTAGGACACATTGAAAGACATGCTGAGGATGACAGCAGGATTGACTCATGAAGCTTTTCACCTCCCACATTGGGAAGTAATTTTGTATGTCAGAATTATTCCAAATAACACCAATTTCTTACTCCAGTCTTTCCTCTTTCTTTTCCCACTTGGAATGCAACAATAGAGTGGGGCTGAAATGCCTTGCTACAGAGACTGCAGGTTGTGTTGCGCTCTGTAGAAATAAGGCTGGTCAATTAAGACTTAGCCCAAATGGAAGACTCTTGAAAGTTTTTAATTAATTGACAGATAAGAGTATTTTCTCCTCTTGTCTGCCTTGGGTTTTTGTTGTTTGTTTTCTCTGTTTGTTTTGTTTTTAAGAAGCATAGTCTTGAGAGTCTTTGGGAAGTCCAGAGGGGTGTTGGGAACTGAGACTACAATAGGTGCTGGTGTTTGCAAACTCAGCTTGAAGCCTGTGCAATGTCTAAGACGTCTGTTTTTATGTTCTATCCCATTTTCTACCTGATTTTAATAAAATTCTGCAATCCAGAATATCACGAATTCTAACAGTGTAACCTGAATATCTAGTGTACATTCTGACTTTCTTCATAAAAAGAAAAGGTATTTTGTGGAGAACTGGAATAAATTAATTTTTTAATGTTAATTGTAATTTACTTTTTATTCCATGTATAAAAATTGCTATAACTGGCACAATACATACAGTGACATACTGCCCTAAGTACTATACCTCCAGAGGTGTTTTGTTTATTTGGAGGAAAGCAGTTCTTTCTTGAGAGGTGTGCCAGTAGCAGCAAAACAGCCAGAACAGTGGCTCCACTCAGATGCTTTGCAATCTTAGTCTTTTTAAATATAGGTCCTTACATACAGGAAAGAAGTGGTGTCGGCTTTTGTTTTAGTTAAACACCAGCATGACTGCCGCTATCTTGATACAACACCATAGCTGGATTCCTGATTTTATACGGAATCTTAGTGACTGAGGTTTGCAGTCCTGTGTCTTCATGGCATAGCAGAGGAAGAGCAATGCAGAGGCACTGCCTAAGTGCATCAGCTTAGGCAGTGTTTTGTTTCTGTTGTGACCTGGCTTAATTGGCTTGGACTAGATCAAATTCAAAAAAACTGAACTGGAAAGAATGGAGCAAGATTTTAAAATCGAAAGTTCTCAAGCAGAAGCTGAGGATACAAAATGCATATGTCATGTAAAAGTCTTGTTTCTACTAACACCAGAAGGTACCGCAGAGAAGCCAGTGCAGAGCGGAAGACTGTTTCTACTTGTCAGGGTTCCTCTGCAGGTGTCTCTGGGAAAACTTTACCCATTAAGTTCAGCAAAATGTTACCTCTTGCACTTGCAGTCGTCTCTCCCATAACGACGCTCATATAGCAAAGAGCTCTCTTAAACAATGAGACTAATCTAACAAGGAGCTTTTTGTTCACTTTTGCCGGACTTGCTGCTCAGGATAAAAAAAGCAGAGGTTTCCTTAAACTCTAACAGAACGTAAAGACAGCCCAGTGTCAAAACTGAGCTGCTTATAAACGAATCCAGCCCTTTTCAAACCAATGGAACATACTGTTTTTACTGGACATCTCTTTCACCACTGCTTTGATGCTTGGTATGCCAACCATAGACCAAATACGTTTTATAGCCTCATTCTTTGACTATAAAAAAGGCTTTTTAGGCCAAGAAAGTGATTGAAGAAAGCCCGTGGATGCTCCACAGCCATCACATCAGGGTACTTCAGGGCTTTATTTGAAGCACACTATTTTTGTACTGTCTTAGCAGTCAGGCATAATTTCTTTGTAATTGCTTGACACTGATGATTTTTTTTTTTTTTCTTGTGAGAGACAGGAGTAAAATAGGAATGAGATGCAGTAGCATCCTCCTTCAAAGCCATGGGAATCTCTGAGGTTCCAAGGCTTTTGTGGTGATTTGTTTGGGTTTTTTTTATTAGGCTGTTTGTGGACGGGGAAAAAACCCAACATGTGGCTCAGACCCCAGGCTATTTTGAGGGTGTTTTTGTTTTGGTTTTTGGGGTGTGTGTTTGTGGTTTGTTTGGTTTTTTTTTTTTTTTTTTTCTTTTTTTTTTTTTTTTTCTTTCAGTGGTCTGATTAAGCAATTCAAGAGAGAATCAAGTTCAGGGAAATTTCTGAGCAGTGTAAATGTTTTCTGATGCAGGCTATATTGCTGTAGAGTATTTGGGCTTTTTTGTGACCTAAAAGCAGAAGATTGCTTAATACTTAAACCATTTCCAAAATTATTGTTGTTCAAGAGGTTTTTTCTGGGTTTTTTTTTGTTTTGTTGGGGTTTTTTTTGAACCACAGGGAGGGAGCATGTAAAAGTGTGGCATAAACAATGTGAACGTCTCAAGCTTGTCCTTCATGGACTGTGCTTGAAGTGAAGGTGTGGAGGTCTGTGTCCTGAGGATGAGCATGCGGAGCAGTTGTAGCATTCTGAAAAATGGTGTGTGAGAGTGGATTTTGTTACTTCTTCCTTGTGATTCTTCACGTTCTTTCAGCTGTTTGCAGGAACGTGTAAAGATCTTCCTTACTAGGTGTTGCAACAAACAGTTGTTACAATTTATTTGCATTCCTGATCGCTTGTTGGGTTTATATTTTCTAGTTGGTGGAAGCAGACTTCCTTTTCTTGTAGTCCATGATGTTTCCTTCTCTGTCCTTGAAAACAGTCCTCCTGAAAAGTCTGGACTTCGGAAATCCAGCTTTAGCTTTAGCAGTGGTCTCTTTTACTACTTTGCAGGTCATTTCAGCTATATTATAAGAAGCTTAAAATGGGTAAGAGGCAGGAAAAGAGCAGAGCTGCGTGAGTGTTTATAAAATTTTGCTCCATAAATTAAAAACCATTCTAAAAGTTGCTCAGGGGTTCAGAGGAAAATGCTGTGCTGCTTTGTCCTGAGGATATCTTAAAAGGATTTGCTGTGAAGTTGTGCGGCTGTGGAAATCACCAGGCTTCTCTGGATTTCTGGGGGGAGGTTTCCTATTTGTTCAGCTGGAATTTGGTGCAGCTTTCTCCGATAGCCTTGCATGTCTTGAATGATAAGACAACGCTAGGATCGGTCTATATTTGTTGCTCTTTTTTTCCTTCAAATCCCAGGGAAAAATAAGTTAACTGACAGTGCAAAATACTTTATGGCCTAATGCTGCTGCTTCTGTTTGTGGAAGGGGCCAGAGCGAAAACTGCTGCATCTGTTTGGTACAAAGATGCATTAAATATCCCAGCTTCTGCTTGCCTGATGTGGATTACAGACTTGAAACATACTATCAGCGCCTGAGCTGGCTTCTGCAAAATAGCAGGAGTTTGGCTGTGCGGTGTGTTTGAAGTGGTGCGGTTCTTAATGCACGCTTTCAAACTGCTCAATAATGCTGGATCCAAGTAAATGATAACTGAAAACTTGTGAACTGTAAGTTCCCAGAAACAAAAATGTGGTGTTGAGAAAATATTTTCCCCTTTTTTCTGAATTAAAACACAGGTACGATTAATTTTGGTTTTTATGCTTCTATGGTACAGTCATTCGAACAGTCTAAGTTGTCCAGAGTTGCAGAATATGTGAGGAAGGATATGGAAATGGTTTCACCTACTGTTTGTAAAACATTTAATAGTGAAAGTAAAGAGCAAACTGCGTAGGTATATATTCTGTTATATGCACCTGCCAGCTTCTCAAATTTTGTTTTGCTGTAAGTGTTAAACAGTCTTTTGGAAGACTGGAAGTGGAATAAAACAACATGATTGAATATTTAATAATTTAAGCTGTGTAGAACATGTGCACAGATTAACCTTGGTTTTCTTCTTTCACTTTGGTACAAAGCTGTGAGTATAAGAATGAAACTACACAGCAAAAGAAGAAAAAAGAAAAATAAAAGTTGTTTATATTGTTATGGTTTGTCAGTCTGATTCTTCTTTGCTTTGAATAGAATTTTTCATTCACAGGATTCGGTAGAACTTGACTTTGTTCTGGATTTTCCTTTTTTAAGAGGGGTGGATAAAATCAGACAGGCCACTTTTAGCTTCAGCACTGGCAGGAAAGTTGCAAGTTTTTGCTCCCAGTGTGCAGGAATCTGAGACCTAGTTGTTTGGCAGGGAAGATGGAAACTGTCCACCCAGCTGGTGCCACCAACATGATGTACTGACTCCTGTGCTTCGTGGCCTGTTGCCAAGGGCAGTTCTAGAGATGTTGGTAGTTGACTCACCAGGACTTTAAGGACTGCTTTTGAGTTGCAAATCAAAAATCCTGATTTTGATCTTTTGACTGATAGTTAGGGTATTCAGAGAAAAACAAAATCTAAGAGCATCTCTGCCATATTTTTCTTTGGCAAATAATAACCTAGTGGAGAGAACTCATGGATGGAACCTGGGGCTGTTCCAGACACCTTAAAAACCTGATTTGGGTTAAAACAAAAGTTGAATTTGGAGAAGAATAACTCTTCTTTAGATAAACCATTGGATTTTCTAACTCTTTCAGAGGAAGTTACAGTGCAGGACAACATTAAGAACTTTATAGTCAAAAGGTTTTCTGCTTCTCAGTGACCTCTCCATTAAATGTGCAACTTACTACAAATAACTTTGAGCGGATGCTACAATTTGTTTTTACAATTTTGCTTTACAATAGAAGATTGCTTTGTTACTTTTAAGCAGTAGAGAACTTAAAAGAAGAAGGTTCTCCTGATGCAGTCTGGTGTCTTCACACCTCTTCTTGCACATTTTGGTTTTTCCTCCCATTTTTGTATTGATTCACCAGTTCTGAAAGCCTGTCATCCTTAAAGCTGTTAACAATGCAACTCTCCAGCTCAAGTGCTTTTCTGTTTTTAATGCATTCAAGGAGAAAACAGGCATGTATTTGAGATATTAAGAATGTTTCATGCTTGCCATAAAACTCCAAAAGCTGCTGTATAGTCAGGAGAATGACAGAAGAGTGCTCAATGTTTCATCCTCCTCTATTCTTTCAAAATAAAAACCAAAAAAACAGCCTTAAAGATTTGGCCAAAATCCAGTTGATTTTATTTTTGGTTCAATTAAACTATTTGTAGTTATACATTCAAATAATTTTTCCAAAGTGGTAATGCTAACATAGTGTCGGATTCTGCTACAAGTCACCTCTTGCAATAAAGAAATACACAATACTGTCAGGAAATGGGACCCAGGGGCAGGGGGAAGTGTGTGTGTGTGTAGAGAGAGATATGTATTTGTATGCATAAGAGGTTTTCTCTCTGGAATGGCAGACAACTTGCTGAATGTTACAGAGATTGCAGTTACAATAAAAAACATTTGAAATGTCCAATGTGTGATTAAGATCCTATGGGGGTACATAACATTAATGTAATCTAGCACAATCTCATGGGAAATATTCAGTCAACATTATGAAGAGGATGAAATTATAGTATCAAAAGCAGGACAAAGAGTTCATGACTAATTACAAGGTGGTAGTAAACACCTCTGACTTGAAATATATATTGAACTTCTGAGTTCAAACACAGTCCCAGTTTTGCCTGACTTGAGGGAAGACTTTTCCAGTTGTCAGCATAAGCAGAATAACGATGCATGCTCCATGTCTTTGCCATGCAGAAAAAGCTTAACTCAGTCATCAATAAATTAATCTTCATCACCCAAAGGAAAATGTCAGGAAGTTCTAAAAGTAGTTCCAGAATATGTGCACTGGTCTGCCAGCTGGAGTACAGTTGTCTCTTTTTCCAAGGGATTCTTCACATGTGCTGCTTATCTTGTCGAGTGAAGCATGTAATTACAAAACGTTCTTTGCACTTGGGGATGAATGGAGTGGGTTACTCAGAAGTCTTGAGTGTTTTCTTGGTGCAGGTGGGTGCTGGCTTTGGTGTTACGCATACATCGTGAGCTGCAGCCACTGAAAGAAGAGTTGGAATGAAAGGATGAAAGACTTGTTGGTATCCTCCAAGAAAATGTATTGAGACACCACTGTCTCTGTAGCTGGAAGGCAGCTGCTTGGCGATACTTAATATGAAGCATATTGGCAGTGGGGAACCTTGTATTAGGCTTCTTCCTCCTAATCCTCCTTCCCTTGCAAAAAGTGAAGGGGTTTTTCTGTGGTCTCCCTAGCAGAAGATATGCTTTTAAGCTGAAACTTCATAAATTTTCTTAATAAGATTTTTAAAAAGGTAAAGAACTATGTTAAACTCTATTGTCAGTTAATGCCTTTAAACTAAAGTATATTTGATTTAAATTGCCTTATAAGAAAAAAAACTAAGGCTTTCTGAAGCACTTTAAAGATGATATGAAGAGTCTGCAGCTGTGCCTTGCAGCACCAGCTGGAGTCTTACAGAGCAGCTGTTGCTGGCAGATGATGGATACACATGTTTTCCATGTAAAACAGGTAGCAAAATTTTTAGGATGTTTTGCAGACTCTTCCCAATTGGATGACAATTTCAGACCAACTCTCACAGGCTCCCATGAGAACGTGTGCAACAAATAATACAAATAAGATTCAGTATTGTGACTGTGTGTTAGAAATACTGGCGTAAAGCGGTTTACCTCTAGGACATTGAGCTTAATGATTCCATCTCCGTCTTTATCAAAGGCGTGGAATGCCCCTAGAGCAAGGAAACAAAAGTATATGATTAAATTACCGTGTGTGTAAAGATGACCACAAACAGGAAAGCAAATTGTGTTCCTCCTGTGCTGTGGAAAAGCGTGCAGATATTTACCTGCGCCGCCAGCAGGTATTTCTGCTGTGTTTTTCCTCAGCTAATACAAAGATAAATGCAATTGCTTATTTTCTCTTGTGTTTGTATGGGGTGGCTGTCCTATTTTAGATTCCCTAGGCACATAAATTATTAAAACTAGACGTGTTCAGTAGTGCTGTGAGTACAAGAGGGGGTGTGGAGGGACCGGGGCAGCCACTCACTGAACATGGCGTCCAGGCGTACGAAGCAGCAGATGAAGCTGTCGAAGTCGATGTTCATGTTCTTGTCGGCGTAGCGCATGGTGATGATGTCGTAGAGCTGGTTGTTCAGCCGAAAACCTGCAGAGGACCAGAAATGGGGCAGAGCTGGGCCGGGCCTCCTGGGGAGGTTTGCCCACAGGCGCTCCGCAGGCCCGGCCGAGGCTCGGGCTGGAGGCTGCTGCTGCAGCTGCTAAATAAAGTGAAGTAAAGCTGTATGGAGCTTCCCTCTGTCCAGCTGCTTTCTTGAAACAGAAGGAGCACTTTGAAATTACGATTTGGGAGGGCCAAGGGCAGGTGAGTTACCTCACGCTGTAAGCGTGGAGAGGAGAGGTCTGCACCACAGTCTGCAACTTGACTGGGCCGCGTGAGAGCAAAGCAACAAAAACTGGGCGAGAGAAACACAGGAGGAAGTTGCTAGGAAAACACAATTACACAACGGTCCAAAAACAGGTGAGAGAACTCCCTGGCACGGTGTTACCAACCTGTGGCACTGAGCGCACTCGGTAAAGGGTGTGTCAAGATCTGGGCACTGCTGGGCGCTGGTTGAATGCGGGGTCATGCCCAGCCTGTGCGCTGTGAGGCTGAGGCTTCTGTGTTGCAAAATGTGTTCTAAAGTCAGGGCGGAAGGTATTTAAATAATATTTTTTTTGTTTACATTGACAGCTTTCCTGGTGAGAATGGAAACCTGGGAAATAAGAATGCCCCATATTTCTGCAGCAGCAGCAGCAGTCCAAGTCCAGGTGTAGTTTTGTCCGTAGCAAAGGGTCAAATCACTGATGTTTTGTAAAGTACAAGACAGCCATCTGTTCTGTGCCTTGGTGAACTGGTAACTGATGCGCCAAAATACTGCCGAAGAGCAAGTGTCACTGAAATAATCACATTCAGGTTTATAATTTAATTTTTCTAATTAAAGCTGCCACCTTGCTCCCTTAGAGAAACAGCAGCTGGTGAAGACTTGTGCTGTAGAGGGTTGCTGTTCAGGAAAAGAAATGCATTGAACCCTAGGAGCAGTACCTGCATCATTGACGGCATTGCGCATCTCATAGCTGTTAATGGTTCCTGAATGATCCGTGTCATAACGCTTGAAAATTTTCTGGAAAAAAAAGAAAAAAAATAAATACACAACAGAAATAAAAGCTTGTACTTCTGCTGAATGTACCCACTGAGTGAGGATGGGGTGTGTGCCTTAGGCACCTGGAGGCTTTGCCATTTACTTAATATTACTGCTGTCAGGCAGTCTGGGTTGGTAGCACAGCGCTCCTCTCAGTCACAAAGTGAAATAATTCAGATCCATGCTGTGGGAAGCAAAAAGCTCTCCTGTAGAGACTCTCCTTATTTTACTTGAGTTCATGCTGTTAATCCTCTCTCCTGATTAGCGTAATTAAGCTATTTGCAAGGCCTTATTATCCTTCCCATCACCCTCCTCCTCCAATTTGTATGCCTCCGTGTTAGTCTCATGGGGGAAGTCCTTAAATGAGTGCTGGAGCTTCAGAGGTTTAGACTATTTGCTTAGGCTGTGAGTAGGATAAAAGAGACGTTACTTTTCTTTTTAGAAGCTAATTTGCAATTTTTTAGTTTTTGTTGTAGTGTATGTAGGGAGGTCTGGTTTTCCTCCAGAAGCTTTTGTGCTGCAGAAGCAGTGAAGAACAGCACTGTGGACACCAGCAGTACCTGCCAGCTTTTAATCTTGTCCCAGAGATGTCGAAACTCATCGAAATTTATCTTCCCTGAGCCATCTGTCTGTGATGTGAGCATTCAGGGAAAAAACCACAATATTTTAAAGAGAAAATTAATTAAGTCTGCAGCTACTGGTGAAGGGATGAATGTGAAACTTGAGTTCAGGATCTCCTCAGCATTAAGAGCTGGCTGAGCTGTGCAGTAAGATATTTGTAACATTTTGGTTATTGTGTATGGTATTTTGTTCCAGGAGTGTGAAGTACTCTTTATGTGTTGTGTAGAAGCAAACATCTGGTACAGGAGAGAGGCTTGCTCCTGGAACTATCATAAAGTATATGAGAAGGATGTTCTAGTGGGCTCTTTCTAAATACCTCCAAATGTGAAGCTTACTCAACATTTTTAAGACAGAGCTTTCTCCTAGAATGAAGCTCTTTCTGCCTTGCTTAAAATGAATTGACAACTAAGCAAAATGTTGACTAAAGCCATTTACAAAAATGTGTTTAGGCTCCAAGTATTATGGTTTTGAGTTGTAGTTACAATTTTGTTCTGGTTATGAGTGCGCTTATGTTCTTTCAAAATCATGCATTATATCAAATAGGAAAACTGAGTGATGTTGTATTGGAGGTAACTCCACATGGTATCTTGTAGTGTGCTTTATTATACTTGCTCTGAGACAATTTCTGTGTGCATTGCATGCTAAGCACACAGTGGAATGTATAATACGTTATAAACTTGAAGATAAAAGAGAAATACAGTAAGTTTGTTGGCAAGAACTGTGGTTATGTTGAGTTGGTTTAAAAAAAAAAATCCTGCTTTAGTACATGAGCTAGCCAGTCACTGATACCTAAGGAATGGTATCGTACTGACTGACTTCTGTAGTTTTATGTTTTGAGATATTTTCATTTGCTAGCTATGCTAATGTTGAGTTAAGATGTGCCAAACCAGTAATGTTGTGTTATCCGACTACGGAGTGTAATGTCCTGTTCTGCTTCCCTGGCTTACTAAGTTGTGTGTGTGTAGAGGTGGGAAGTAAAACCCAAGTGGACTAGTGTGGTATCAAGCACTCCCCTTTCACCGGAAAAGGATACATCCATTAAAGCAATCATGCTGCGGCAGGATTCCAGTTCAAATCCTTCTGTCTTTAGGTCCTTATCTGAAATAAATGATCCCAGGTGAAAACAGATCATGCAAGTCAGCAAGTACTTCCTCCTCTTAGGTGTAATTCTACTCAAAGTAGAAGCTAAAGCTATTTCCTTCATCCAGCGTGAAGTGAATAGCAGAGAAATCTGAACAGGCTCTAACATTATTGCTTGTGAATTGGAGATGACTTCTCTTGACCTGTTACATAAAATAAAAACCTCTGGAAGACTCTAAATTAACTTCCAGGTAACCAAGCAAGCCCAGGGTCTGTAGGCTAAAGTTTGCTAACCAGGGAGAAAGGCCTGCCTCTCCATTAGAGAAGCCTGCCTCTCGGGCATTTACAGACTGCTAGAAATGCTGTATTATCCTGTGCGGTGCTTCCAATGAACTTCTGCTCATTTCTGCGTAATCAGTACTTGATCACTCGTATAGAGCATCTCAGTGAAAAGATCAGCTTGCTAAAGTGTCAGATGCAAAGTCTATGGAAGTGTAAGTAGGAAGGTAGTAAGTTTGAAACCATAAATAATTTTTAGAGTGCAGCTCGGGTGTCTAGGGTTACATAATATCACAGATTCCTTTGTCTAGGGTTACTGAAAAACATGCTCAAACTCACGTTTTTTTACGACATTATTGAGAACATTCCTGAGTTCTTCGGCATTGATCTCCATGTCCTGGTGGGAAATGTGGTGAGAATGTAATTAATTACAACATTCCTTATTAAGCAGATCACTTCATGGATGGATATGCTAAAAGTATGAAGTCTTTGGTCACTTTTCAGGATGTCATACATATGCTTCAAGCTAAAGCACGTTCTAGTTCGTATAAACATTAGTCCAAATCTTTCTTGAGCCTGCAGTACAACGTAGGTCTAAAGTTACCATATAGCCCTTACTAAACAACAACTGGAATAACGACTAGTAACTTCAAGCTACTCTATAAGCCAAAAAGCAAAATGCAAAAATCCTTGTAACCCATCTGCAGCCTCTTCATTTATGCAGTTCGTTCATCTGTTTTTGCTTTTAACTTCTCTCATTAAGTATGTATTGGAGGGTGCTGTATTTCTAACTTGTTTATTCATGCTCTGCAAAACAGCATCCTGCAGTAGCGATACAAGTAAAAGCCTGAATTTAAATAAGGCTCCTTTGTACACAATGGGAATAGCTTATATGTACATATGAGGATAGCTGTATACTTCATTGGATTTTGATTTGATTTGGCTTATCTTCAGATCTCAAAGGACATTTGACGGAAGGGAATTCAAAGGAAATTTTAAAATTCAGTGTTTTGAATCTGTGAAGCAGTTGATTTAGGTGCTGTTGTGGCTAGGCTGCTTTGATGGCAGAGAGGGGGATCAGCTGCATACTCACATCCCCTGCAATCTGTCGGAAAATATTCCTGAACTGTTTCTCCTCTTCACTCCCCTCACGAGCTTTTGCTGAAGGACGCTGAAAAGAGACAAGCAAAGAAGACATAGAACCTCAGCCCAGCAGGGAAGGGGCCTGGGAGGCTGGACGGCTCACTTGCCCTCATGCGAGGGAGCCTCTGAATCTGGAGCTCTTTGGAGGAACAGGTCATCCTCCTGGTCCTTCCCGCTTTTTTTTGGTTAAATATGTTCCTTGGTGAAACGGCTGAGTATTTAACTTCATCCTATTGTTCTCCTTTCTCTTGGAAGGAGTCTAAATGATTGCTTTCCCTGATAGATGTTTTCTTCTAATTTTTTGTTTCAGAACATTGCACAGGAGAAGTTTGGAGCAGAAGAGGCTCCATAGCCACCCTGTGGGCTCTGAATTGACGAGACGGACTCTGGCTTAAGAGCTCTTTGTAGTGTGGGGGCCCCTTGCTGGAGACAAGTAGCACATGAGACAGCTTCACTTTCGTTGCTTCCTCTGTCTCAGGCACATGCAAAGAGCGAGCCTGAATTCTGAGGATCTGGCTGCTGCATTGCATGTCCCTCACCCGCCTGCAGGCAGAAACTCCAGATTCGCTACCCTGGTCTCCTCTCTGGTAGTGAGAGAAGAGGACGGGTGCAGGAGCTCCTGGGTTTACTTGTCCTTCTTTTCTCCTCTAGCCAACAGGGACAGGTATAGGGATGTGTAATTTGTAACAGGGAGAGGCTGGGGTCATGACCAGGAGCTCCTGGAGCCCCTTGGATGCGATTTCTACGTGTGCCCTGTGTAAAGCAGGTACCCCTTCACAGGGCTGCTCGTGGGGAAGGGATCTCTCTCAGCCAGGATGCTCGCTTGAGAGAGGAACCAGGAGCTGCCTTCAGGAAACTACATCCTCCAGCAAAGGTGTTAAATAATTGAAGGGATAGCCTCTGTTCACTCATGCTCATGAGGCTCATCTAAAACAGCTACTCTAAGATCTGACAAAAAGCTGTTAACTCTCCCATCTCCCTTAAGATACTTCTTTGTCCCATCCCTGTGCTCTCCCCAGCCACTCTTCCACGCTAGCCAGCCCCAGCCCTATTTTCCCCCTCGCCACTTGTTGCAGAAACCTTTTTCTCATCTACGTGGGTTTTTTCACCGTCTTTAGCGTCTTCGTCTGCTGTCAGCTCCTTATTGCTGTTTGCTCTGTCAGAAACAAAGATGATAGGCTAGAAGGAGAAGAAGGAAGAGAGCAAAAGAGAAGTGGAAATTACACAAGAAATAGTGGAAGGGAAAATATTTGGCGACAAGCTTTCTGTGGCAAAGCGCATGCAACAACTGCTCCCGCCCCTGAGAGCATGACCAGAGAAGCCAGAGCTGTGAATGAAAGAAAAGAAGAAGAAAAAACAAGGGAGTGGGACATGGGTGGACTTCTGAAGTTACTGCTCTCCTCATGCTAAAAACCAAGCTGCAAAAGTCTGTCTGCAAACAAGCGCAATCTAGCTTTCCTGTTCAGAAAGCCAGTAACTGTTCAAAAGTTACTTTTTCTTTTTTGTTTAAATGAAATAAGCCACCCAGATTCTTGATTCTCAGTTAAACTGATGAACTTGCCCTTGTCCATGGAGGACAATAGTGCTGAAAGCAGAATCTGAATCCTACATAGAAAAGGAGTATTTGTGTAGGAGCTGGTTAGCTATGAGACGCATATGTTCTCTCTCTGTATTAATTATTGGAGCATTCAGCTATAAGCAGCCACGTGCAATTGTTCTGTTTCAGTTTACTTAAGGAAAACGGCTACAAGATGTGAATGTGTTACCCTGGGGTATTAATTGCAATCAGCCTGTTTTCAGATTAAAATGCCTGAGTACATTTTCAAGGTCCTAAATGTGTTGTGTAGAATCAAAAGGAGAATCCTGATCTTTGTTGACCAGAAACCTCAGGAAAGAGGAGCAGCTGCACTAGGCAATAGAAAGCAAACACAAGGGCACGTGTCTGGAGAAAGGGGGCTTTTCACTAGAACAGGGTGTTGGGGTGCCTGTGGGGGGACAGGCAGGAAGGGCAGTTTGAGCAACCCCGAAGATCAAGCTTGTAAAGCTGAGACGTTCCTGCTGCGCTTTTGCCACCTGCTTGAGGGAGGGGGGTATGTGATGCTAATGCTATTTCATTAGAATTTACTGTAGGAAAACAAAATCTTTGCTGTCTGCAAGTGGCCTCTCTTCCAGTGCCCTTCATTAACTGGGTCAGTTTCCAGATGCAGAGTTTCCAGGTAGTATCAGTGATACCAAGGAACTCTGCTCCTGCGGCATGCATTGCACGTGCCCTTTACCTTGGACTCAGCACATTGCAGAAGTACCTACCTTGCCCTTTTTCTTCTTCTGTACAAAGAGAGACAAAAATTTTAAAGTGTTTCTCAACAGAATTATAGATTTTACCCAGATTATACAGATCTGATGGTAAAGTTTTATTTTTTCTCCTGCCCTTTCTCACATTTATTTTTCCCATTCCTATATTCACACAATTTTTTCCCATTTCCTATATTCATATAGTTTTCGAATCTCCAAAAACAAGAGAAAACTGTACCCACCAAAAAATTGCATACTGAAGGACAGAAATTGCAGAAACCATAGTAAAACAGTGTCCTGTTTCATTTGGGGCTTTGTCTGCTTGAATAAAATCTCTATTGCACCTTTAGCTCTGACTATTCCTTTTCTTCTTCCTAACCCATCAGTGCAGTGGAGACTTCTGTGCCCACAGATCAGAGTTAGCTGAAGTGGCAATTAAATTCCACCAGATTTGGACAGATATTTTGTTATCATGTCAGCAAAGGAAAGGGGAACACTCCTGAGCAAGCTTTGACGGAGCTCAATTCTGTCCAAGAGCATTTCCTCTAGTTTCTTTTTTCTAAGACTAACTATTTTGTTAGCTCTAGTATATTCCCACAAAGATAATGTAAAACTGCAGGCTGGAGAGTTAGAGCTTGTCATGGATGCTAGTGTGAATCAGTGTAGCGTTAGGATCCCTTTCTGGAAAGCATATACTTCAAAATAAGGTACTTTTTTAACTTATTAGCTGAGTTGCCAATTTCACAAAGCATTTTGGAGCATAGAGCTCAGCCTCCCCTGGTAAATGAATAATCTCCACTGATGGAGGCAAAGGCAATGCTTAGCATCCAGCTTCTTTACACCAGGAGCAGATTTCAAATCTGGCAAAAGATTTTGGCCTGAACAAATCAGAAGGTAGTGTATATAAAGCAGGTGTTAATAAAAATATCTTGATGAGAAAATGTGGGAATTTATGCTAAAGGAGTTGTCATGTGGCTGCAAAGGGTTTCCTGCGGTAGGTTTCCCCAGATGCGATGCTCTTCCCTTCCCTACCCCTATTAGTGTACAGAGAGCCCCGGGGCAGTACTTACCGATGGACGCTCTGCCTCAATCATGTTTTCAACCTCCCTAGAAGAAAGCAGAATTTAAGATATCAGGAAAGTGACTGCTGCTGGTGCCACTTGTTTCTGTAGCAGGTTTGTAAGCAGCCACTTCAACTTTCCAAACAGCCTGAGGTGTGGGCTGGCTTCCATTGGAGCTGCAGGCTCCAGATGTGGCTTTTTCCCAGTTTGAGCTGAGCAGCCCAAGCACCACTTCCAGGAGCACTGGTGCCTGGTTTACTCCTCTGAAGAGCCTCGATAACACTGAGCTTTCACAGCTGGGAGTAAAGCAGAAGCTGTTTGGCCTGAGTGCCACTGGCTGTGATTTGCTGAGCTCTGGGAAACGAGTTGAAAAGCAGGATGGAAAAGAAATAACTTCCCACTTCTGTGTTTCGTTCATGATGGAAATGAGAACTGGTTCAATGATCTCTCTGGCCAAAACTTCAGCCAGTGGCACACAGCAATAAAAACCCAACAGGTTCAATTGCTAAAAATTGGTGATGGTATGTTTACAAAGGATATCCTTCAAGTAGTAAGCTTCTCCAAAGACAATTCAAAGCAGGCTCTTGTTAGAATATCAAGGAAGCTTGGAGAAATGCATTTGCAGCTTGGAGTTTCTAATGAGGTTAAGAAAATTAAAAGCAGGGTGTAGCAAACTGGGAAGATGACTGTATCAGACTAGTGAGCTCACTTCCACATTTGCAGACAGAGGAATGGATCTGCAACTTACTCTGAAAGACTTCTTTTCTCTGAGAAGACCCTCAGGATGAATTCTCCCTCCTGGTGGGGTTCATACGTTGATGGGATGATGACGTACTCACTGGGAGGCAGCCGGAAGCGCTCAGAGATTTCTCGCATGTTTATATAGGTCTTACTTCTAGCTTTGGAGGCATTGTAGAGGAAAAAATCCTTTTGCAAGTGGTGCTTAGTGCCATGCATCTGCAGAACAAATGGGTCATTTTGTCTTCAAGAAAGTCTTAGCTGTTCCCCAGGTGGCTTGTCATGCAGGCAGTAAGTGGTCGGGACAGAAAACACAAATGAAGCGGCAGCTTAGCAAGCAGGGAGCTGTGAGGGATGTTAGCTGGGAACAGATATGGAATCTGTGACCTGTAAGTTGCTACTGGCTGGGTCTAGTTGGCTTCTGAGGGCTGCTCCAGGGCCTGCCTGGAGTTGGCTGATTTCTGGTGTGAAAGCACTTTTGTCGGACTGTTTTGTTGGATGCTGAGTTGTGTGTAACCAAAGTTCAGCTGCTTTCCCTGGAAGGTGGCATGGCCAGGAATGGTATATGGAAACTCCCGCACACCATGCGGTAGGGTGAAGGTGCTTTCAGTGGAAATGTGTCCTTGCCTGGACAAAACATTAATTCTATATCTGAAGATACAGATGTATCTAAAGAAACTTGATGATCAAATGTTGCATTGGTTCAAATATTAAAATTAAGAATTGTGGGCTAAGAACACTTGTAAGCTGTTTGCTGCAGAAATAACCACCTGTAAACCAGTCAGCAAAGGCAACGTTCAGACCGTCATCTTCATGTAGCCTTCAGGTGAGCTTGTTTGCAAAATGTGTGATGCCAATGATTCAGCTACCGGCAGGCTCAGAAGAACTTGATCTGTGTACTTTTCATACAATTTCTTCAATGGCTGAAAATACCATTTGTTTTCCAAACAAATTCTGAGACTATAGAGGAGACTCTGTGGCTGCAGGATATAGGCAATTGGTGTTATTTGCAGGAGGACATGGCAGTGGTTTAGGGCACTTCTGCATGGGGCACAATGGCAAAGCGCTTGCTGACACTGCTGCCTGCAGCCTCTGCTCACTGACCAGCTGTGCAAGCCGTGGCCAGGTCACATATGATTAGAAAAGAAGGACTAAGGGAAAGGTGAGGCTGAAAACAGGGTGTGAGTGAGAAGGAATTAAAAATTTCTTGCAAAGTGTTACTAATAAACGCTCAAAGCAGAAAGGTTAGCAGTTTCACTTCTGTTACACCCCTGAAAACAAACTTGACTGGACAGTTTCCTGCTGACTTACAGCCAGGCACAACAGTAACACTAGCTCTGAGCATACACCCAGATGTCATTCTGCCTCCGTTCTGCTCATACCTCTTTGGGCACCTTAGGGAGAAACAAAGAGAAGAAACAGTCAGAGCTTCTAGGTGAGTCTGCTTGTTTACAGATCATACAGAAGGGTGTTCACATAGACTTCTGGGGACGCAGCCAGTAAATGCCCAAACTTGGAATAATTATATAAGCAATTTCTTTCTTTTTTGATTTTGTGGGATCTGCATGAGAACAACTAAGATCTGAAATAAATATGTTTGTGCAAGGGACTGAGTAGATTGACTTTGTGAAGTTGGTAGCAGGGACAGAGGTTAGTCGCTACATAATTGTATGCATCTTGGATGTCTGTTTTCTTTTTTACACTACTCTGTTAATGAAATGTTTAGTTTCCGCAAGGATGAAAGAGAGACTGAAGAATATATGGGAAAGAATACGTTAAAATCTGGTATTAGGTCACCATAAAAGCCTAAAAAGTGTGTTTCTTATAGATGGGGTAAACCCTGAGGTTACTATGGGCTGAATGGTTACAAAACCTTGGATTTCCTTCCTCTCTTTCAGGTTTCCCCTGAGTTTCTTGCAAAGTAAAAATTGCAATTGACGTAGCCAGGCTGAATGATTCAGTGCCTCTCTTGGTAAATGCATACTGTCATGATGTGCAACCACAGAGCTAAGAACAAAGTCTAGAGCTGGTACCTCGTAGATGGCAAAGCCGATGGTGTACAGGTTGGCTCCCAGCTTGCGTTCTTTCCTCCTATTTTTCTGCATCAGTGCAACAAGGAAGCTGCAGACAACTTCTTCATCCTCAGGATCATCATCTTCCTCCAGGAGCTTCAAGCGATACTGGGGATTGGTCCAAAATGTGTCTGTGAAATCCCACCAACAACCCAAAGCAAACATGTAAAGCTTCAGTTTTCTAATGATATTCATGATCAAAGAGAACTTTTAAGTTCCCTGCCTGTAGCTCCTGAGGGACAGGTAAAAATTGGGCTAATACTTTTTTTTTTTTTTTACATGTTATGGGTTTTACATAGTTCTAACAAAAATGCATAGCAAAGGAGGATGTAAAATGAAGAATTGGCACCTGACAAATTTCCAAAGTGCCTAAAGCTATCAGAAAGTGGATTTCCCAAGTGAAGTCTAACTGTTAGAGTGAAATTGATCTCTCTTATCATACTTGGGGCACTGTGAAGTATTTGAACAATGATTTCTCTTTGCCAGGCCTGCCTTTTGGGCTCATGGAGTGCTGTCACAAACCTAGTGACAGAAGGTTTCCAGCTACAAAATTGTGTGCCTTGTCCACTGAGGAAGCAAGACTTTTCCTATGGCCAAGCACTGATCAGGCTGTGGTATGACTTAGCTGGTGGGGTCTAATAGAGTCCCCATCAAAGAGCCCTTATCTTTCTTAAGCTCCATTGCTCACCTGGATAATTGCGGCAACCTCCAGCGGAGCAGCCTCTCACCCAGCGCCCTTCGTTGACTGACACGGTCCAAGTCTGGAGCTTATCGGCTTCCAGAGTATCAGGTGTGAGGTTACAGATCTCAAGTTTTGTGAAGTACCTCATGAAATCTTCAAATGATATCCTGGAGGAATTGAGGGGAAACTGAGCCCAAATGGATTTACCTGGTGGGCGGTTGTCTGAAAGATCTTGGTGAGGTGGAGGGTGATTTATCTTACTGCCACTACCAGGGCAAGATTGCAGTGACAGTGCCATGATTTCCTAGTGCATTGTGCCTGCTGGTTGGTCAATTAGAATCATAGAATCATAGAATCACAGAATAATTAAGGTTGGAAAAGGCCTCAAGGATCATCAAGTCCAACCGTCAACCCAACACCACCTAACCCACTAAACCATGTCCCGAAGCACCACATCTACACGTTTCTTGAACACCTCCAGGGATGGTGACTCCCACTTCCCTGGGCAGCTTGTTCCAATGTCTGATCACTCTTTCAGTGAAGAAATTTTTTCTTATATCTAACCTAAACCTCCACTGGCGCAACTTGGTACAGCTCCAAACTGGGAGGTGCTGGGCTGAGAGGATGGTACGTAGGAAGGGGTGTGGCATAATTAGAAGTACTGTGCTGGTGGCACTCCATAAACCCTGGTGGGAGAATGATGGGATCACGGAGCAGGGTTTATTGGGAATATGAAGGCAAACAGGGATTACTGCAACGGTTTTAGCATATTTAAGTAGTGCAGTGTGGTTAATTTTTGTTGTAGTTGCGTATCTCCTAGAGAAACACAGGTTTTGACTGATACTCTCACCAGAACTCCCCATCCTCAGCAATCTTGTGCTGCAGGCGGACTTTCTCTGCTTCATTAACAAAGTTCCACTCCTCTGACCTTCAAAAGGGTACACAAGTTAGAATATGATTTGCAATACAGTTTTCATTAAAATTTCTAGTCTTTACTGTAAGGCTCGTAGAATGGAAAGTCAAGAGTCATCTTGCTACATCCATATCATTTTTCCTTTGTGACACTTGCAACCATTTGTGTACAATGCTACCCTCCTCTCCACAGGCCCAAATAAAGAAGCAATTGCCCTACTCCTCTCTGCCTTCCCTCCAGACTTCCTCTTAGCAGCCCTGAAAAATCTGCTGAACTGTGCTCATTTTATTTAGCTTGAAGACAAAAGTGTTTGCTGACTCTCATTGCTGGAGCTAATTTCAATTAGCTATTGAAATTCCATTTAGTAAAACCTAGTGAGATGCTTTATCCAAACTCGCTCATGTACTGACATCTTGTTTCATCTAGTTCTTCCATAACTCAAAAGATTTTTCTGCTGTCACATCCTGTTTTGAAAATGGACATTGCTGATCTTGCTAGACAGTAAAACCAGATTGACTGGGCTGTCTCTTCATTTCCATTGATTAAAGACCCATTAATATATTATTTTTTAGGTACTCTTCTTTTTACAGCTTCAGCTAAGCACTCGACTAGGATAAACCTCAAAGTACATGTGTCAAAATTACAGCAAAGACAATCCAGATACCTCATCGTTAAATGTCATGCACAAGCTGCATAAGAGCAAATAAAGCCGCATTATTTTTTTTTCAACTCACATGAAACTCCATTTTACTCACTTGTCACTCCAAGGTCCATTCCATTCTACCTGCCCCCAGGGGTTTCTCAGCCTTACCAGACGTAGTTTTTCCCCTTTAAATGTTGTCTAATTGAAAAAGAATGGAATAAGAATAGACTGAGGGTAGGTTCAAAAGGAAACATTCTGCCTGTCAAATTGCTGATACCAGCTCCTTCTGTGATGGTGCTTTCCTGGGCCATCGCCCAGCCTGACCTGTGGCCACCTTTGCCCAAGGAGACCATGGTAGACTATCCATTTCCCCAGAAAGCCAAACCTTGGACAGGTTTACTTCTCCAAAAGACTTTAATCTATTTAAATATAAATTTTGTTTCCTTAGCTCATAATTTGTTTTGCTTTTTTTTTCCCCCCTCATAGCTTACATGCATGGTTGTAGGCCAGTGTAGACCGCAGCTCCCCATAACTGGAGGAAAGGGACTGCACGTACGTACCTCTTCCACGGCTGTGAGAGAGTACGCGTGACCTTTGACGAGCCCGCAAGACATCCGGGTTTCGTACTGCATTGGCACTATGGTCTGTTAGACACAAGATGAAAATGTAAGAGTCATGTAAAGCCTAAGTTAGGTATTGCCACCTAGGGCTTTTGGAGGGAGGATGGCACCGATCAAGTCACAGAGTTGTTTTTGTCTTGTTCTCTTCTTTGCCTTTGCTGAGGTGGCCAAATTTAGTGCCCACAGAATTAATGTTGTTGGTTAGAAGGGAGTAAAGCATGAACTTAAAAAGCAAAAAGTTAACAGTATCAATTGGAAAGGACATTTTGGGATTTACTTTTCCCTTCATGTAGGTTACTGCTTTTTGGACTTGTGAACTTAAAAAACAAAAGTTAATAATATAAATTGGAAAGGACATTTTGGGACATTTTGGACATTTCCTTCATGTAGGTTACTGCTTTTTGGACTTGAAACATGCTAGTACATAATATGCTTAATCAAAATAGATTTTCTATTAG